TGGATAAATGTTTAGACTTCAAGTGACTGCCATGCATTTTTTGGGTAATCCTCTCAGATCAGCTCAATTTTACTCTTTAGAAACAGAAATCTTTTTTTGGGGCGGGGTGGTAGGGCAGGGGGAAGAAGATAGGATGACTATGAGTTTTAGAAATTATCAAAGTTTAACTCACGTATTTTATTGATGAAGAAACAGACTTCTATTTGTGAAGAAATAGAAAAGATTATTTATACATGTATGGTTTTTACTTATTGTACTTTCTAGTAAGCTGGAATGGATTGATTTTTAAGGTATGTAGAGTAGTGTTCAGAAGAGCCTAATGATAATGCTAGCAACAAAGTAGAGTTACTGAAACATATATTGCTTCATTATATATTGCTGTGTTAAGTGTTATTTTGGCAGTGTTTTATAGAGAAGGCTTTGAGATAAGCCGTTAATCCTATCTGATACAGTGCTTACTAGGAACCACAGTTGTTACTAGGAAATTTTGCAGATGATACTGTGTGGGTGAAAAGAAGAAGGAAATAAATATGAAATGAGGGTAACTTGTACTAGAAACTATAGTATATAAGATAAATTAGTTCTCAGATGAAGGTGTAAGAGGTAATAGGTGATATCTCAACAGAGGAAGAGATCACTTGGGATTTTGTGAGTTTAATAAACTTGATGTACCTTTCACAAGAATATTTAAAGTCCCTAGAAGTTGTATTTTAATTTTGTATGTGCTGTCCATCAGCTATTAATTTTGAGTTTTAATAGAGTGTTCATTTACTTATCAGTTAAGAAATCTAAGTATCTGCAAAAGTTTGGATTCTTTGTATAAAAAGAGAGTGTTCTTCTAAGGCTTACTTAGCCTTTTCTTATCTCTTTCATTTTTGTAAGTGTCTGATCTTCTTTTAACATATTTTATATTGTGGGTCTTCATTTTCAACATTTCTGCTCTCAAACTCTTTTGCCTTAAGGGAAGATTTACAGACTGCTCCGTTCTTCAATGATTTATATGTTATGTCTCTTTCACTGCACCTGTTACTATCTTATAACTTTACAGTGGTCAAGGATTTTAAGTTTGAAACCTGTTTGCTATAGGGAAATGTCTTCTTCATGAAATGAGTTCACCTCTGTTGCCACACAATAAAAAAACTCCCAGCTTTCGGGAGCTTCTGGCTTCCTTATGAAATAAGTATAGGCTTTTGCTTCTGAAGTGTTTTAGGGTTTTTTTTTTTTTTTCTTTAGATATGGAAGAAGAGTAGGAAGTATGATCCTTCTCTTAAGAAACAGGAATATCTATGTTTATAAAATAAATGAAAAGAAAATTAAGAAACACTAAAGCTCTAAATGGAAGAATTCACTAGAAATCAGCTGTTTGGATGATGAAAATTTGTCCACCATCCACATTTAACAATGATTCAAAGTGTTTATGGATCTTATACTGCTTACATAGTTTTGCAGTTGTCCTTCAGAAAGTTTGTCCCTTATAACTCCATTATGTGAACTGAATACGCTATGCAGTATTCTATGTGAAAGGGTATTTTAGGAGGAAAGACACAAAACTCAGCAATTATTTCAAGAAAATTGTTGAAGATTTCCATTGTTTCTTTTAAAGAGGTGGACTTCATTTAGTCAGGTAGACTTTTCTTTAACATCTCCAATCAAGTAATACTTGAGGAAAAAGGTTCCGTAGAAAGACATCCATTGAAGGCCAGAAACATCTACAGATGCAATGTGATCTCAGGCAACGAAGCATGTGGCCCTTCATTGGCATTATATGATAACAGGAGGATCTTCTGGCAGAAGAGCTGACTTTTGCTGAGTTCTGCATGCTGCCCCTCCAAACCCATCTTTGATTGGCACCTATGCCCTATTGAAACTGGCATCACACCTTCTGAATGGGCACAGTGCCAGCCTAGCAGATGGGTATGGGCAAAAGCATGCCAGAAACCCAGTATGTGCATCAAGTTTAAGTATCAGGGGCCCAAACTCCCATCCAGGGATATAAAAACTGCAGTCTGTTGAGAGCTTTTTGTGCTTAAGGTTAAAGGACATGCCATTTCTACTCCAGCTTCGAGGTTGATTAATTTCGAAAGTCAAACAGGAGCTCCTGTGGCTGTGTGTCAGGCAAAATTCTGTCTTTGGTGAATGAGAATTACTACTTCATGTAGGGAAGAGAAAGTATTGTAATGAAGTGTCCAATGAGAGTTAGTCTCCCGCAAGGGCCTCCAGCACTTAAGCAGCATGCATTCAGTGGAGATGAATATTTCTGTTCTCCAGCAGAGCCAGGTGCATTCAAAGCCAGATCTTCAGCCTGCTGCAGTAAAGAACCCTAAATTTAGAAAGGGCAGGTAAAGTTTGGAACTCTTTGGTGGCAGCCCTCACCCTGAGCTGATGAGGCTTCACAAAAGTGTATAAAGGAGATGAAGGAAAAACTAAATAAAAAACTTTCAGATTACTTCAGCCTGAAACAGACAGATCTTTAACAAACCAAGGGAAAAAGTTTAGTCCCTTCTCCTCAATGCAGAAATTCTTCTGAATTTTATATCAATAAAAAGTTAGTTTACCAAAATGTTAGAACCAACTTAATGCATAAGTAACAAAGCTTCCTATTCTAACATTTATTTCATTGCATGTCTATCATGTATATAAACTTCACTTCTTGAATAATGGATTTTGCATAAAATTGAGTTCTAAATATCATATTCCTTATGATCGTCTCACACCAGCTACAGAACTGGGCAAAAAAAAAAAAAAAAAGGGCATCATTCCTTGTGATCACTTTAATCATATCCCCTAAATGCTCTTAAATTTACAAGAATGCCTGTAAGACCAGCTGTGGCCAAGAGAAGCTTTTTCATAATCACCTTGATAGCCATTGCTTTTTCTTTTCCACTGTGTAAACTTTATCTATGGAGCAGATTCCATGAGACCATTGTGAATACTTCAACGTATTCAAAACATATAACTGCCACAAATTAAACTACTAAAACTAAAGCTGGTGCATTGTAACTGCCAAGTAAAACTGGCACGTCCCTCTGTCAGACTGCGGGAGAGTATGCCATACAGTCCTCAGAAAACACAATTCATCCAGAAGCACTCTTGTCACTTGCTCTGATATTAAACCAGAGAAAGTGACATTAATTAAAGAAGTGACGTGAGCCAACAAAGGCAATGAAATTCTAAGCTTTGGCTCGTGTGCAGACCTTACTCCGACTTGCTCTACTTAGGTATCGTGGCCATTTCTGAAGAGGAGTGTGGCTACTTCCCTTCTCTTCCTTTCATCTTTTCATTCTGAAACATCATTTTCAAGCAACTAAAATTTCATACCCAGGCTTGCGCTAGCCAGTTGGTACACTGGTAGTCATTGCAGGGTTTCCCAAAATAGTCATGTGGTGGCATGTGATGCATTTACTGCACTTGGTAACTGCATGAGATGAACAACAACTAGAGACAGAAGAGAGTTGTTCTTACAAAAAGGCAAGCAACAGCATAATCCAGTAGGGTACCTAGATTCAGTAGACCGGGAGCTAGGGGAGTCTGTTGCTAGGATCGCTGGTGGAAACGAATGATGGCTGGTAGGCCTTATGAAAATTCTAACATGCTAACGAGCCAAGCAGGGGAGTAGCCACAACTTTTCTCACTCTCTTCTCTTTGTTCCTTCCTGTAGTGTGCCCTTTCTCCCTTTCTCGGTGCTTATCTTGTTTCATATGATTGCCATTTGTATACTGTTTACCGTCTATCAACACTAGATTCTAAGCTCCTTGCAGGTATTCTCTCAGAGTGCTTAGACAAGGCCTTGCATACAACAGCTTAAAAAAAAATGATTGGTTAAATTAACTCTAAAACTAGTCTGTTCAGGAAAAATAATTTTCCCAACAATTAGGTTATCTGAGATGAAATTTTGTCCTCTATATACTATTAACATGCAGCATGTGTGTCAGGCACTGTCCTTTTAGATTTAGAGACATTGTTTTGTATATTTTGGGGAATTCGAGGGGAAAGAAGTTTCTGTTCATTCTCTTTCCAAAGATGTTTTTTAAATACAAGAAGCCATGTACTTAATCCATAGATTATAGGATTTATTGGGGAAAGTCTACTTTGCTAATGGCCTAGTGCAGAGAGAGTTAAAAAAAAAGAAAAGGACATTATATTAAGACTAAATAGTTTTGTGTTTAGAATGAAACAATTCTACTGAGTAGCACTCAATTGAAGTAGACCTAACAGCAAGTATAAACTTTTGTGGAGGAAATAGGTGGGGTTTAATGTTAAATGGATTGACTTATAGGCATGTAACATGCATAAGAAATCCACTTTTCAAAGGATATAAAGACAACTTTAACAGAAAATAAATTATTGGAATTTCTTTTAATCCGAGTGAATGAAAGGTTTGATTAAGAGTTTTGTACATAGTCAGAAGCTTTTGTTATAGTTTCTGGGCATGGGTGTTTTATATTTGAGATCAGGAATTTTCTATGTATGTAATTAGTCGTGAGGTTTAATGTACATTTTTCATATCAGGCAGACAATGGCTTCAAAGAGACAGCAGCACTGCAAAGGAGCAAGAAAAGAAGGCCAAAGTTGACATACACAGAGGCAAAACAGTGTAGGAAAAATCAACACGTTTTGCAAAATCAATCATTGAAAATGTGTCAGTGTTCAGGAGACTGTCTTTAATTTGCAATCCAAGTGAAAAAGAGTATTTAAATATGAGAGGCAGTATTATTGAGCCCAGCATGCCTGCTACCACTTGTTTGACTAGCTCAGAATAGAACACTGAGAGGCAAGGGCTCAAAGTTAAATGAACATTTATACATTTTAAAATCAAATGAAAGATTCAGAGTATATTCATGAATTAAAATTTTTTTCAGAACCCTAAATTTAATCAGCTGGAATTACTTTTAAAGTGTCATTCTATTTAACTTTTGGGAATGATGAATTTGCCTTTTAATAGGGATGCTGTATTTTATCATGAAGATGAAACAAACTGTCTTTTGTTAATTATTCCCCAGAGACACTGGCCATTTTTCTCTCCTATGCTTAGTGTGGAGTAAAGGCAGCTTCCCGCAAATTTATATCAAGCAAGAGCAATCAGAAGCTACAACATGTGTGAAAGAGGCTCATGGAGGGCATAGTGTCCATTGTAGGTGTTCTGAGTGCTACCTAATGAAGTTCTTAGAGGTAATGTTACCAAAGCCTCACTATGGAGGCTATGAACATAGGACATAGAACAGTAAAAAGGAATGAAAGCAAGAATCTCCGGTAAAGTGTAGCAGATGAGTCAAGTGTGTCTGGGGCATACTGCTAGGGAGGGTTCTTGAAATCTTTTTTAGGAAATCATCATCATCATCATCATCAACTGCTGCTAAAATCTTTTACTTAGTGTGTGCCATGCTCTGTGTTAAATGCTTTATATGCATTATTTCATTTAATCCTCTCGGCAGCTTGATAAGGGAGTTATTGAGGCTTAAGAATGGTAAGCAGTTTGTCTCTATGCTATAGTTTTAATAATTGCCTCCATCTACATTTGAACTCAGGTTTCTTTGCTCTCCTGATTGATGTCCTTTGTCAAAGAACACTTTGAATTTATTACTAGCCAGAGAAAATAGTGGCAAATGACATGCTTGTGACATGCTCATTTCCAGTGAAATATCTAATTGATAGTATTGGCAGCTAATGTAAGAAATATGTTAGTGATGATGCTGATAATGGTGTCATTTTCATTCAGATTGACAACGTGAGGTGTAGATCATCTGTGATACGTTTTTAATGTTAAGTTCACAAAATCTTTGAAAGACCATCTGATATTTATAGCAAATCTAGTGTTAAGAACTAGAAAAAATACATACGCTAAAAAATGTACTATACCTAGATCAAACAATATTTTTATGAAAAAAAGTGAGAATAGTCAACAGTGCATACAAACTGATGATAAAGATTTGGTAGCTTTTGAAAAGCTTTCTGCTTTTTCAAAAATGAGTAAACTTATTTAGTTTATAGGGATTTAATGCATTTGTTTTAAGGCTAATAACCAACAGGAAGATCAGAAGAAGCCTCTAAATCCCTATGATACAGTTTTAATAAGCATCATGTAAAAATATTTTTACAGATACTGAATTCTTTTTCTGTTTTTTACATCTTTATTGGAGTATAATTGCTCTACAATGGTGTGTTAGTTTCTGCTTTATAACAAAGTGAATCAGTTATACATATACATATGTTCCCATGTCTCTTCCCTCTTGCATCTCCCTCCCTCCCACCCTCCCTATCCCACCCCTCTAGGTGGTCACAAACCACCTAGCTGATATCCCTGTGCTATGCGGCTGCTTCCCACACGTTTGGTAGTGTATATACGTCCATGCCTCTCTCTCGCTTTGTCACAGCTTACCCTTCCTCCTCCCCATATCCTCAAGTCCAATCTCTAGTAGGTCTGTGTCTTTATTCCTGTCTTACCCCTAGGTTCTTCATGACACTTTTTTTTTCTTAAATTCCATATATATGTGTTAGCATACGGTATTTGTCTTTCTCTTTCTGACTTACTCTGTATGACAGACTCTAGGTCTATCCACCTCATTACAAATAGCTCAATTTCGTTTCTTTTTATGGCTAATATTCCATTGTATATATGTGCCACATCTTCTTTATCCGTTCATCCGTTGATGGACACTTAGGTTGTTTCCATCTCCTGCCTATTGTAAATAGAGCTGCAGTGAACATTTTGGTGCATGATTCTTTTTGAATTATGTTTTTCTCAGGGTATATGCACAGTAGTGGGATTGCTGGGTCATATGGTAGTTCTATTTGTAGTATTTTAAGGAACCTCCGTACTGTTCTCCATAGTGGCTGTACCAATTCACATTCCCACCAACAGTGCAAGAGGGTTCCCTTTTCTCCACACCCTCTCCAGCATTTATTGTTTCTAGATATTTTGATGATGGCCATTCTGACCGATGTGAGATGATATCTCATTGTAGTTTTGATTTGCATTTCTCTAATGATTAATGATGTTGAGCATTCTTTCATGTGTTTGTTGGCAATCTGTGTATCTTCCTTGGAGAAATGTCTGTTTAGGTCTTCTGCCCATTTTTGGATTGGGTTGTTGGTTTTATTGTTATTGAGCTGCATGAGCTGCTTGTAAATTTTGGAGATTAATCCATTGTCAGTTGCTTCGTTTGCAAATATTTTCTCCCATTCTGAGGGTTGTCTTTTGGTCTTGTTTATGGTTTCCTTTGCTGTGCAAAAGCTTTGAAGTTTCATTAGGTCCCATTTGTTTATTTTTGTTTTTATTTCCATTTCTCTAGGAGGTGGGTCAAAAAGGATCTTGCTGTGATTTATGTCATAGAGTGTTCTGCCTGTGTTTTCCTCTAAGAGTTTGATAGTTTCTGGCCTTACATTTAGGTGTCTAATCCATTTTGAGCTTATTTTTGTGTATGGTGTTAGGGAGTGATCTAATCTCATACTTTTACATGTACCTGTCCAGTTTTCCCAGCACCACTTATTGAAGAGGCTGTTCTCTCTCTACTGTACATTCCTGCCTCCTTTATCAAAGATAAGGTGACCATATGTGCGTGGGTGTATCTCTGGGCTTTCTATCCTGTTCCATTGATCTATCTTTCTGTTTTTGTGCCAGTACCATACTGTCTTGATTACTGTAGCTTTGTAGTATAGTCTGAAGTCAGGCAGCCTGATTCCTCCAGCTCCATTTTTTGTTCTCAAGATTGCTTTGGCTATTCGGGGTCTTTTGTGTTTCCATACAAATTGTGAAATTTTTTGTTCTAGTTCTGTGAAAAATGCCAGTGGTAGTTTGATAGGGATTGCATTGAATCTATAGATTGCTTTGGGTAGTAGAGTCATTTTCACAATGTTGATTCTTCCAATCCAAGAACATGGTATATCTCTCCATCTGTTTGTATCATCTTTAATTTCTTTCATCAGTGTCTTATAATTTTCTGCATACAGGTCTTTTGTCTCCTTAGGTAGGTTTATTCCTAGATATTTTATTCTTTTTGTTGCAATGGTAAATGGGAGTGTTTTCTTGATTTCACTTTCAGATTTTTCATCATTAGTATATAGGAATGCCAGAGATTTCTGTGCATTAATTTTGTATCCTGCTACTTTACCAAATTCATTGATTAGCTCTAGTAGTTTTCTGGTAGCATCTTTAGGATTCTCTATGTATAGTATCATGTCATCTGCCAACAGTGACACCTTTACTTCTTTTCTGATTTGGATTCCTTTTATTTCCTTTTCTTCTCTGATTACTGTGGCTAGGACTTCCAAAACTATGTTGAGTAAGAGTGGTGCGAGTGGGCAACCTTGTCTTGTTCCTGATCTTGGTGGAAATGCTTTCAGTTTTTCACCATTGAGGACGATTTTGGCTGTGGGTTTGTCATATATGGCCTTTATTATGTTGAGGAAAGTTCCCTCTGTGCCTACTTTCTGCAGGTGCTTGTAGTAATCTCTCATGATCTTTTGTATTTCTGCAGTGTCAGTTGTTACTTCCCCTTTTTCATTTCTAATTCTGTTGATTTGAGTCTTCTCCCTTTTTTTCTTGATGAGTCTGGCTAATGGTTTATCAATTTTGTTTATCTTCTCAAAGAACCAGCTTTTAGTTTTATTGATTTTGCTATCGTTTCCTTCATTTCTTTTTCATTTATTTCTGATCTGATCTTTATGATTTCTTTCCTTCTGCTAACTTTGGGTTTTTTGGTTCTTCATTCTCATTGCTTTAGGTGTATGGTCAGGTTGTTTATTTGAGATGTTTCTTGTTTGTTAAGGTAGGATTGTATTGCTGTAAACTTCCCTCTTAGAACTGCTTTAGCTGCATCCCATAGGTTTTGGGTCGTCGTGTCTCCATTGTAATTTGTTTCTAGGTATTTTTTGATTTCCTCTTTGATTTCTTCAGTGATCACTTCGTTATTAAGTAGTGTATTGTTTAGCCTCCATGTGTTTGTGTTTTTTACAGATCTTTTCCTGTAATTGATGTGTAGTCTCATAGTGTTGTGGTCGGAAAAGATACTTGATACAATTTCAGTTTTCTTAAATTTACCAAGGCTTGATTTGTGACCCAAGGTATGATCTCTCCTGGATAATGTTCCATGAGCACTCGAGGAAAATGTGTATTCTTTTGTTTTTGGATGGAATGTCCTATAAATATCTATTAAGTCCATCTTGTTTAATGTATCATTTAAAGCTTGTGTTTCCTTATATATTTTCATTTTGGATGATCTGTCCATTGGTGAAAGTGGGGTGTTAAAGTCCCCTACTATGAATGTGTTACTGTCGACTTCCCCTTTTATGGCTGTTAGTATTTGCCTTGTGTATTGAGGTGCTCCTATGTTGGGTGCATAAATATTTACAATTGTTATATCTTCCTCTTGGATCAATCCCTTGATCATTATGTACTGTCCTTCTTTGTCTCTTCTAATAGTCTTTATTTTAAAGTCTATTTTGTCTGATATGAGAATTGCTACTCCAGCTTTCTTTTGGTTTCCATTTGCATGGAATATCTTTTTCCATCCTCTTACTTTCAGTCTGTATGTGTCTCTAGGTCTGAAGTGGGTCTCTTGTAGACAGCATATATGTGGAGCTTGTTTTTGTATCCATTCAGCCAATCTGTGTCTTTTGGTGGAAGCATTTAGTCCATTTACATTTAAGGTAATTATCGACATGTATGTTCCAATCCCATTTTCTTAATTGTTTTGGGTTCGTTATTGTAGGTCTTTTCCTTCTCTTGTGTTTCTTGCCTAGAGAAGTTCCTTTAGCATTTGTTGTAAAGCTGGTTTGGTGGTGCTGAACTCTCTCAGCTTTTGCTTGTCTACAAAGGTTTTAATTTCTCCATCAAATCTGAATGAGATCCTTGCTGGGTAGAGTAATCTTGGTTGCAGGTTTTTCTCCTTCATCACTTTAAATATGTCCAGCCAGTCCCTTCCGGTTTGCAGAGTTTCTGCTGAAAGATCAGCTGTTAACCTTATGGGGATTCCCTTGTGTGTTATTTGTTGTTTTTCCCTTGCTGCTTTTAATATTTTTCTTTATTATTTAATTTTTGACAGTTTGATTAATATGTGTCTTGGTGTATTTCTCCTTGGATTTATCCTGTATGGGACTCTCTGTGCTTCCTGGACTTGATTAACTATTTCCTTTCCCG